CGCACGATTTATCGGCACACCCGATGATGATGCATCACGGCCCGAGATTGTCCTCCAGTGGCGGGAGGGAGCAATAAAAGTGTCTTGAATAATAAGCCGCTATTTATAGTTAACGCGATCTGCGTCGGTAGGTGCTCGACGACTTGCCTAAGCCCCGGCGCAGGAAAATTACGAACGACTATTACGCGCCGGCTCGTCGTTGACGCATGCCTAGCCACAGGCATTTCGACAGGGCAATGTCATCGGCGATCCCAGTAATCTACGAATTAAACGACGGAGGCTGACACGCCATGACTGTTACGACACTGTCAGGTTTTGCAATGACACGCGAGTCGACTTTACGCCCGCATGAAATTTTCATGACCGCGCGAGCAGCCCGGATTATCCTGCTACGCAAATATCACGGGGCTCAGGTGTGATTAGCTCGGCCCGATAAAGGGAATCCTTTAGACACTGGATACATTATTCCCATTACATTTGTTTCGGAATTAGATGACGGACGATTACGACGTCCTAGCGGTCAAACAATTTCATGCTCGACCGGCTAGAAAAATGTAGGCAGCCGAGTAGCCCGGGTACAGGGAGGCGCTGATAAAATTTCTTTAAAATTCTCAGTAGGTACGCGATTGGGCGTCCTGTTAAATATTCAACGCGCAAAATGAACGGCGCTCGTCTTAGAGCCGCGATAGCGCCTCCTGTTCCGCGTGCCTGAATGCCGAACCTTTCATCCGTCTCGCGAGCAACGGGATTTAACGGGCGGCCGGCAGCGGCGCGGTCCGAATGGCTCCTATAATTTTCACGGTGACGGTCTATGGAAGCTCACGGGACGATGGTTCGTCCAGCGTGTCGGGCATTGTCGAGCGTGTAACGAGGGACAATTTTTGCGGGGCTGAACAATATGTCGCATTAGCGTATTGTGATGGCGGGGCAGCGCGTGGTCGTTCTGTCATGCGACACGACGATATCGTAATCGATGCTGGCCCGATTTCCATTCCGCGGGAAACGGGGGGTCGGGGGGAAATGCAGACGCCGAGGATCCACGGCTGCACTTTTGCCCCGGCTGCGACCGGGAGTCATTATCGTGGCAAGTCGACCGACAATGTGACCGAGACGCGTGAACGTGTCCGGAATTCGTGGGCCTCCGCGTTCGCATACACGCCGTGGTTGCCATTCCTGGCGCTCTGCTCGACGATTGCAGCGCCCGTCGGTCGTGAAATAAATATTTTCTGGCGTTGCCGGCTAGCCGCCGCACTGCCTGACCGCGCCGCGATGCGAACTTAGCGATCACTCGCTACCACGTGGCTGGGCTTTATTTCATGGTACAGTAATGTCTCCCTAACTGACGCTCAGATTGCGCGCAAAAGTGGACAATTTGGGAAAAGGAGATACGATGATTCGAGCCTTGCTGCTCAATTTTATAGTTTTTGACAATCGGTGACTATAAGAACGAGCCTCAATACTTGAATAATAGTATTTTCTCTTTCCAAATTGTCCATTTTTGTTTCCAAGCTGAGCGTCAATTAGGGAGAATTTACTATAGTTCGTGGCTGGATCTGATCCAGGTTGGACCCAAACCATTTTTAAATCGACGAACTACATCTTGGTTGGATTTAGGACTGGGAATCTTAATGGTAAATTAGTCCTAAGCTGACAGTATGTACTGGGTATGTTCGAGTTTGCTCCCACCTGCTTTTTAGTCAGAAGTCTAGTTCCAATTCAATTCTGCAGCTAGGTATCGTGGATATGACCATGTTAAGTCTAGGTCTTCGTTAGATCCAGAATGAATTAAATCAGAGAACTAAGTCCACGTTGAACCTGGAACTAAAGATGAGGAAGTTGGGCTGAATGTAGGCTAGCACCAGGACTCGTTTAGTGCTATATCAGATCGACATTTAAATCTGAATTACAGCCCAGAGCTATGGCCATTTCAGACGCTGTTCATTTTAATCCTAATTTATTGGAGCTCGTGCTTCGGATGAAGTCAGATCACATAAAGCAAAGGTAAGTATGTTGTAAATCTTATCGCGGATCGTTTGACAAGAGAAATTTAATTAACGGAGGACACGTGTTCGAATGACTACCGACGGGCCATTTTCCGGGTAAACGGGGCTGAAAACTCGCCGGCAACTTTCCCATTACAGTGCTCTGTGTAGACAGCGAATTCCGGGGTGACCAGTCTACCGTCTAAAGCTCGACGCCACTGGAAATCGACACTCGGCGCGAATTGAGCGTAAATGAATTCGAAAGGCACTCGGTCCGGCGTGTTTGCACTTGCACATTTCAACACGTAGTTCGAAATCGCTCCGAAAACGATTATTCGACTGCTAGGTAAATACCGGCGACGCGGCTCATCAGGACCCGAACTTATTTGTCTATGCAAATCGTCAATCAACCGGCAGCTACCGCGGTGTCCCCTCTAACCCCCCTCCCCCGCGCCGTCGTTGTTTCGTTTCAAGTATCCGGCCACGTTGTTTTTACACCGTTCCCGGCTATCATACTGTTTTGCGAGCCTCGCTTTGTCTCTTAGGCTCGCTTTGAAAAACACCGTGTCTCCCTTTGCCGCGCGGACTTTGATCTCCGTTTCCCTAGTAGTTTTTCTAGCGCCGCGTCTGGTGATTTTAAGGGGAAACGTTGGAAGTAAGTCGATTAATCGTGGCGTCGTTGTCGAGCTAGCTCCGCGGACGTGTTAATTGGTGTGTCTCCTGTCCGGGCTAGGTCGGTGCCGGTCTCCGCCGAGCAGCTGACGCAACCGCCTCAGAAATGATTATCGAAGCAAATAACTCGTGTTTATCATCGCGAACGCAACTAGATTTCCCGGTGACCCGCCAATTACACGAGTCGTCCTGTCCTCGCAACGATGCTCCTCGAATCCAGGAATATCTCATTATCGCGGGACCACGGCTAGCGGTCCGCATTCCGCGAACTCGAAACTTGGAAAGCCACGGTACGTCAGCAATTGCCACGCATGCATCACTGAAATTTCGTTCGATGCGTCCAAGAACCGCGTCGCATGCCCTGCTACATCGTCGAACGGTCCGTCGAAAAACGGCGAAATTCTGAAGCCTCTCGAACCGTCAAGGATCACCGAAGGATCCACTTTTCGCGACAGCGTTCGGATGTCGCGCGACGTTCAACGCCTCGCGGATCCAGCCTTTGTCTTGTTATTAATTATTTCCACGACGCCGGGGCCGTTGAATGGACAGTCTTGCGAGACAATAGGGCCGAGGGAATAAGGTTGCTCTTCTTTTCATCGGAAACGTAATATCGCGGAAACGTTCCGAAAACGGAGTACGCGCCTTTGTCGACCGGTTAGCCGGCCGGCGTTTAATTACGGACTGCGCGGGAGCAATTTATTCGGCCGGCAATCGTACGGATCGGCCGAGTGTTTTCTGGAACTTGGCCGCGATGTATCGTCGGGCAACGGTATCTTTGACTCTGCTTCAATAGTGGCCTGAAACGTGACGAATGAATTTTTTCTGGATAGCTTCTGGTTGGAAGATATAGCCTTCGGTTGGAGAGAATGGCGATCGAAGTTTAGAAAAGCGAAAAAGAAGAAAATTGTCAGTTTCTCTTTTGTAGAAATCTTATGGAATTATTTTTGCAATATTGACACGATTGTCGTTGCTATTATTAATTTTAATAGGCCACTGTAATTCCCAACCAAGATAGAGGATAACTTCGGCACTTCTGTGTCTTCATCTTTGTTTGTCTAATTTTTAGTTAACTCTTCCCAGAAGGCCATCCTCTCCGTCAAAAAATTGCTACCGGTTGCGACCTGTTTCCTATCATCAGATGTCTCTTGACAACTGCAGTTCGGTCAAATTGTTATTTTCGAAGATTTTGGCTTGCTGCAAATGTTTACTCTCTCATGAATGTTCAAAGAAATTAGTTAACTATCTCGCAGGTTAATATTCAACAAATCATGTTGACTCCATGTTTGCAAGGTTGACTCATAAATCAGTGATAATGTTTGTCATAGTGACGTCGGTTTTGGTATTATGCAGTCCATTATATTATGCAGTACTTTCTGTTCAAGAACGGTAGCGAGTAGTTCAAGTCGTCGCTATGCGAGACCCCTGGAGAATATAACGTTGATGATCAATTTTAAGCAGAATCAAGAAACGATCGAAGGATAACCGACGCAGCTACGTGTTATCAGAAATTGAATTTCTTTTTGCCGAGTGACACGTCGACAGTCCAATCAAACCGAAGACAATATTTACACGATTTTGAAAACTAATTAAAACGTCGGCGAGAGCGTTCTCGGAACGCAGCGGATGAAAATCAATCTATTATGCCTTAATTAATTATATTCTATCCGAATTGAACAGAATGATGGAAACGGCCGCATCTCGAAGTAGAATATAAGGGCATGCATTGAATTTTACTCATCGTAGTGTATCGGCGCCCCGGATACGAAGGTGTCGCTGTACGTGATCTGGTACGAGAAGTAATGAAAGAAGATGATCGATTTCATGACAGCCGACTGATGTTTCAGTAATTGGTACGTCGCGAAGAATACTAAAGAATCGCTCGATAACTGCGCAGATGGTCGAAGCAATTAAAAGTTTCAATGATTCCGCAAGAGAGAAGTCACCTACTTTGGTAAGCTTCGGAAAATTTGTTTCAGTGTTATTCCTCCCTAGATAGAAGTCGTTTATGGCACTGACGAACCTGTACCCCTCGGTCACTAAGTTACCATAAGTTACCATAAGTTATCATACCTAAGTTCTCGAAAGACTCCGTGGCCATGTCTTTTACAATCACGAGACCTATACATTTATCCACCGTCTTAGCTTTCTTTTAGCTTTCTTTTCGTTTTCTTTTTAACTTAAAGAGTATATAACGTATGGCACCAGAGAACAGGTTCAATTTTCGTCACGATTAAATCAAGACCAGCCAAAATCATGACAGAGCCTCGACCGACTTTTTATCACAATTATACTTCGACTAACTATAAGCTTACTTGGAGTCGTGTCAGCAGAACTAGAAACAGCTAATTGCATTAACAGACGTATATTCTACCTACCAGAAAATCAGCATACATATCGATGCAAAGAAATCGTAAATGATTACAACGTGAATCACGTGTTACTATTATATAATGCGTTCGGACCTTGCCGATGTAATCGTGGGAGTATCGTGTCTGAAAGTAGCGCGGTAATCGAATTAAGCAGAAAGTTAGGCCGCGGGTACTTGGCATGCGGAAAATTTCTGAAGTTGAACCGCTAATCCACCGATTTAATTCCCGTTATCAAACTCGTATCCGAAGAGGCACGGGTGAAGGGTGCTCGCAAGCTCGGTTCTGTCCAATGAAGCTAACTGATAAACACGAGAACTACTTAAGCCACTAAAACTGCTGGCAACCACCGACGAAATTAGCGTAACAACAAACTGGCATATTATTGAGCCCTCTCTGCTAGAATTATAAAACCAATTTAACTACTTTAAACAATAATGGTATGACCTAGGACCCTTATCATCCCTAAGGTGGCGGTTCAGAATCGGGAGCCATTTTAAGCATGGTCCAAATTAGTCCTGGATTAGTTGATCTAGATCAGGTTAGCTCTGCTTTAGTTTGGGTAGGGCTACTTTGATTAGGGCTCGAATTAGTTGCTCTAGATCAGGGCTCGGAATTAACCAGCACGCAGCATAGGAATCGTGAGAGCTACGCCTCTTGGCTACCGTCGCGCCTCTCGCTCCCGGTGATTTGATTAAGTAAATTAAGTTTTATATCGATACGTAGTGAATATGCAAAGTATATGCAAGAATATGCAAACCGTATCCAGCGTAAATTTGGTAGGTTTTCAATTATGTAGATACTTTTAATTTATGATAAAGTCTACTTTAGTTGGAGTTGAAAATGTCCGAATTCATCGCAAAGTGAAGAAACCGCGACGTCAGTGCCTTTGCTACCGGTCGCGAAAATAAGGACGTGTCTCTAAGTATTTAACCTCTGTGCGGGATCTCAGGGGTTCTCCGATCAGCTGTAAGCGGAATCGCTTCTCTTTAAACGGGTTCCCGAAAGAAATGGGCCGCGTTTGTCTTCAATTTGTCCTCGTTGCATAGTCATTGCTTCCGACCACGGTTTCTCCGGCCGCAACTTCTTTCCGCTGCGGCGCGATACGGGCCGGAAACGGAAAGAAGACAAACACTGGTTACCCAGACTGGATGATTAATTTCCCCGAGCGCGGAAGGAGCCCATCTGGAAGCCGGCCGTCTGCATATTTGATGCACGCGTTAACTCTCCCACACGGTGAACTTAATTTCCAGCGGATTCCATTATGCTTTTCGTTTATTAGCCCTGTCTTATTAGAGCCGGGGACAGAGCCCTTTGGGAGATTTCGCCGTTGATAATCTACCCGACGGTCAATTATTCATCGTCGTTCGTGCGTCTTTCTGTCCCGCGTGAAGTAAAGGGTGTCTGGCCTGCGTGCACTTTCGCTTGTCGTTGCGACCGTCAGTTGTCTTTTTTTTATTGTAGCAATCTTACGGAATCATTTCTACTATGCGATCGCGATTATCGTTGTTAATAATAACATTAACAGATCACTGTAGTTCCGGAACGAGATCGATGGTGTCGTTTCTTTGGGAACTTCTTCCTTTGGTATCTCTGGGTCTCCCAATTTGTTCGTGTATCTTTCGTTCATCTCTTCCCAGAATGCCATCCTTGTTGCCAACAACTCGTCGTCGCCCACTGTGATATCTAAGCTCGTTCCGTTTCCTATCACCAGGTGCTTCTTTTCAACTTTGTAGTCCGGCCAGGGTGGTACTTTCCAAGCCTTCGGCACCCTGCGGATGTTCAAGCACTTATTACGGTGATCTCACTCACGTTGTTCCTCAGTTTGCTGACGAAAACGGACGTCTTGGGAAGGGGAGATACGATTATTCGAGCCCCGAGCCTCGTTTTATTGTTATTATCAAGATAATCGTATCTCCTCTTCCCGCGTTGTCCATTTTTGTTTCCAAGCTGAGGATCGCTGTGTGAGAGAAATTACTGTATTCATGGATGTTGTAGCTTGACGTAGCTTGCAGATTAATATTTAAAAAAAAAGAAGAAGAAACATTTTTACCCCGTGGTTGCAAAGCTGACCCAGAATTCAGTCATAATGTTCGTCATAGTGGTGTCGTCTTCGCTAGTCTGCTGCCCATAATAATCCTTGTACCTTTTATTCAAGAACGGTAGTAAGTAGTTCAAGTCGTCGCCGTGCGAGACCCCTGGAGAGTATAACGTTGATGATAACTCGATTAAAGCGGAATAAAAAGAACGATCGGAGGATAACCGGCGCGGCTACGTGCTATCAGAAATTGAATTTCTTTTCGCCGGGTGACACGTCGTCGGCCCAATCAAACCGAAGACAATATTTACACAATTTCGAAAACTAATTAAAACGTCGACGGCGGCGGCTGCGTTCTCGGGACCCGGCGGGCGAAAATCAATCTATTAAGCCTTAATTAATTATATTCTATCCGAGTGGAATCCGTCCGAATTCAACGGGGTGATGGACGAGCCCGAATCTCGAAGTATAATGGTGCGCAATCAATTTTACTCACCGTAGTGTATTGGCGTCCCGGATAGGAAGGTGGTGCTGTACGTGCCCTGGTACGCGAAGTAATAAAAGAAGGTGCTCGATTTCATGAGAGTCGACTGATGTTTCAGTAATTCGTACACCGGGTAGATCATTATAGCATCGCTTACTGTCTGCACGAGATAATCGAAGCAATTAAAAATTTCGATGATTCTGCAAGAGGGAAAGAGAGAAAGGGAGATCTAGAGAGAGAGAGAGAGAGAGAGAGAGGTCGCCTACATTGGTAAGGTTTTGAAAATCTTTTTCAGTGTCGTTCGTCAGAAGATAGAAGTCCCTTACGGCTCTGGCGAAATTGTGCCGATCGGTTACTAATTCCTGATACTCCACTAGGAGGGGTAAAAGTTCCTTAAAGTTCTCCGTTAACTTCTTTCGCAGGTCTTTGTTATTCTTCACAACTATAAATTTATTCAAATCAAATTACGCAATTTTCTAGAACTTGAAATGGTCAATATTGAAATAATCGTTTACCCATCGTTTTCACCATGCCGTCATCCTTGGTTATCCCAATTATGCAAGGTATGTCTCTGAACTGTCCTTTCTTGATAACAATGAACGGATTCTCAGATATCACAGCGTCTTCTGACTTCTCTTCGATAACATGCCCGAAGGGGCAGCAGGGCACGCCGTCCAAAATTTTCTGTCATTCGAAACTAATTATCAAACAGGCTACTAAAGATACCGATAAGTGTTCAATAAATATTCGAGGCTTACGAAATTCTTCATGGTGCTGATAATAGCTTTTTGATCAAGGGACCTTAAGCAGCCTACCATCTGTTCCTCACGTTTGATGGATTCCTTGGACCGATCAAAGTTAGGATCTTCGTCGATTCGGATCGCTTCGGTGCCGTTATGCGTGCCGTTTGGCAGACAGCCTAGCAATTTAGCTACCTTCAGCGAATTTTTTCGCATCTTGTTCTTTGAATGCAGATTCCACGGTGAATACGCGTTTCCACTCATCAGAATTAACCTGTGGAACAGTCCCTCTGTGTTTTTGTTGAGAGACAATATGTGAGCTGCCCCGGCGCCCGCACTGTGTCCCCACAATGTCACGGACTTAGGGTCACCATGGAAGACCTCGATGTTCTCCTGCACCCATCGCAACGCCGTTATTATGTCCTTCAGGGCGTAATTGCCTGGAGCGACACTGTTTTCCGTGGAGAAGAATCCTGGGGAAAGCGCGAAGTCAATCTAGGCCGAAACGATTGTTTTGAAACGCGTTACCCATGATGCTTAGGCGATAATTGAGCGTGACCAGAACGAGGTTCTCGTTCATCAAGTATTCAGGGGACATCTCGTGGCTATTGCTGCTTCCGAAGATGTACCTTCCGCCATGCACGAACACGACGACAGGAAGCTTCGCTTTTGTCCGTCGTTCCTCTGAAAGCTAACGAAATGTTCCAACGATGAAATAATAACTGGTCTGTGCATTTTTAGACAGAAAGTACGAGAAACGGCATTGTATTTTTCTATTTCGAGCTGATAATTTCGTGCTCGAATTTGCATAGATTAACACGTGAAAATAGTCGCCCGTGGCCGTTTTAATTTCATTTAATTGCACGGCATGCTGACCTTGCGAAGTAATCTAGTCGGTATCACTTTTCAGAATATTTCTGCCTCGAATGGGACTGTTATGTCAATGTCGTTCGAGAATCATTGAAAATGTAGAACAACAAAATGGAATTACATTGTTGCGATATGCAAAAACTAAACGCTGGCGTTCAGACATTTATGAGCTGCATAATAATCGATACTTACTACGGGCACGAAAACGTTTAGGTATAAACAGTCCTCACTGCCTATAATACTTTTTTCATCTTTGGTTGGTTGGATGCACATGTTGCCGTCCTTTATGGCGTCATAGGTGCTGTTCCAATTGCGACTCCATGGTTTTGGACTCTGAAGAAAAAAATGTACTCGTTACTGTCGCGATATTTCCATTTGAAAATTCACATTCGATTCCGATACTTTATCTGATAAACGCTTTATTCCTGCATTGTAGCACATTGTCTTAAGCCCATGATTAAATAGTAAACACGAATTAAGTCTATTTTTATACTTATAGATACTATTTCTCTGGCTGCAGACGATAAACTGTGTTATCTGCATATATCTGTGCGCCGCGGCGATAAACAGAATCGAATCGACTGCACAGCCGTAAAATTCTGTGTCTGTTAACAGTTCGTACTTCACAGGACCATCAATCATGGACGTATAAAAATGACCCCAATTGCCGGGCTCTTATCGGATTACAAAAAACTGTCAATCACAGGCTCAACTGCTGGCCATAGGATCGAGCATTCTGATTGAAATCCTCGTTTTACACCATTAATATTCAGTCGCTTCTCATCATTTTTTAGCATTAATCATTATATCAAGGAATACTAAATCGCGGGAAACTGGTTGATTATTCAGCGTTGCCGACGCCGTTGTCGCATCTTGCGTTCAGAGTGCGATAAAACGGCAACGAAACATCGTAGACCAGTGTTTTTGGTTTCGTTACAAAGCTGAGACTTCAATCTACAATTCGATGTTATCTTAAACCGCGAGCAAATTTTGCTAGAATGTATAGTGACGCTTGAACTTGAAATAGATGCAATTGCACAACCGTTCTAGCATTTCCGCAAGTTTCCTAGAGCACTGGTAGATTAAAGAATATATAACGTATGACACTTGAAAGGGAAACTTTCAATCTCTAAAATGAACTAAGCGTCACGGTTGTCGAATCCTTTTTGACAAAGTGACAGTAGCCCAATGATTAACGGTCGTCCTAGTCTGAAAAGTTAAATTCGATTTCGCGTGACCACGTTAAGTTTCGTTAAGCAAATCGTTTGACAGGATATGTTGCAGGAAGGGTTGCATCCCGGCGGAAATGATAAGGGTGTTAATCTGGCAGACAACAAGCCAGACTCCACCGTAACCATCCCTCGGTAAAAAAGAGCGTCAGAATACGTCCCTGGACGCCGCGTGTGGACGGAATGCTGAAATATGAATCAGTGTTTCGGAAAGTTACCCGGAACCTGAGGTCCCCGGTGGGTGGCTCGGCGTAGGGGATGCCCAAGTAGTGCGCAGCAAGCCTACCCCTCGTGCTCCTGCTCCAGAAACCCCGGATCGTGCCGAACTTCGTGTGCACTCTGGTCGACTGCGCGCCAAGATCGCTGGCCGCCACCAAAAACAGGATCGCCATGATCAGCCATAGTCCGCAGCCAGGCTTCCCGAATTGCTTGCTGCTCATCGTACAGCAACTACCGATCATGCTTGCTGCGAAAGTCCGAACGCACTGCACCAGCGAACCGTACGCGAGCAGATAACACCGTCTAATTGCATAACGTCAACGCCCGGCGATGCATCCGACTGACGCGTCAAAAATCCATCTGACGCGTTAGCCAAGTTTGCGTCGCCGATCTGTGGCCTCCCCCGCCACATTCTTTCGGTTATTTTAGTATTGTCGGCGTTGATGGCTCGTATTTGCAAATCCAAGTGACCAATGGATTTGTAGTTGCACTAGTGGGAACAGATAAGATTGGTCGACCCTGAGACCGCGCAAAAACAGTTCATATTTTTTTTTTGCTGGTCACATTGGTGCCGACTGTTTTGCGGGAAATTCATTGTTTTCTTGATCCTTTGATCTTCTAAACCTGTCAGGACAGCTAACACTTGACAGCTAACTGTGCCAGGGACCCGAGATAGGCTAATCGTGGTTTAGACTTGAAGAGTTTGGACTGCATTAGTTCTAAATAGTCTCTGACAGTACTAGATCAGACATAGTACTAGATCTAAACATATCTAATGTGGTTTATGAAGACCTAATTGGTCCTATACGAACCTATTCAAGCATAATCTGATCTATACAGTTCTAATCAAACATATCGAGATGAAACCTATACCAGTGCAGACCTATACAGAGCTACATAGACCTAATCAGACCTATGCAAATCTTACTCTCAGACCAGGTCCATTTTTAATCATGATTAAATCGAGACCAACCTAAGTCATCGCTGGATCTGGACTGTCTTTTATCACAATTGGACTTGGACTAACTTTAACCTTGTTCGGACACTTGTCAGAAGAACTAGGTGCAACTAACTGCATATACATTTACGATCGTACATTTTATCTAGAAGAAAATTAGCATGCATATCTATGTCAAGGAATCGTAAATGATTACAATGGGAATCACATGTTACTATTACGTAATGCGTACGGATCTTGCCCATATAACCGTGGGAGTATGGTGTCTGAAAATAGCGCGATAATCGAATTAAGCAGAAAGTTAGGCCGCGGGTACTTGGCATGCGGAAAATTTCTGAAGTTAAACCGCTAATCCGCCGATTTAATTCCCGTTATCAAACTCGTATCCGAAGAGGCACGAGGGTGAAGGGTGCTCGCAAGCTCGGTTCTGTCCAATGAAGCTAACTGATAAACACGTGAACTACTTCAGCCACCGAATCTGCTGGCAACCACCAACGCAATTAGCGTATCAACAAACCGGTGTATTATTGAGCTCCCTCTTTCAGAAGTTTGAAGAACCTCAACGATTTAATGTGAATTAAGTTAATTCGAAGAAAGGGTATGGCGTAGAGCCTATCAGACTTTAAATTCCCGAGGCAGTCCACAGTCTGGAGCCATGTAGGGCCTAGATTAGTTAAACGCCGAGTATACTGGAATTGAGTTGGCTCTTGGTTACAGTAAATACTCCCAAATTGTCCCTCAGCTTGGAAACGAAAATGGAGAACTTGGGGGAATTTACTGTAGTTGGACCAAACTGGTCATGGGCCAAGTTAGGCCTGAATTAGTTGATCAGGTTATGCATTGGTTAGACAGGACTATGGTCGTCTGGGTTAAGTCTGGGGGTAATTGCGAGAGTCCAGTTAGAGTTGGACCAAATTGTATTCGTATAACGGATAAGAGATGAAGACTAATAAGATAATTTTATTGAAAATTTATTGAAAATATATTTAATTTTCAGAAATTTCTAATAACATGAACAAAATCTTATTCGACAGTGTCGAATAGATATTCAGTCGAATAAAAATTTATCTGGATGAAAATTTAATCGAATACTATTTTATTCGAATACTGAACAATTCGAATAAATAGATAAGATAATTTATGACGAATAATGAATTATTCGAACAAAATATTCCACTGAAACGAATTACATTCAAATTACCTTAGATAAATATTTATTCGTTACAATCGGAGTAATATCGAACTCTCGTTTGAATCAAGATCTGAATCACCTAATCAAGAGTATGCCTGAGTTAGATTCGTGTCATTGACTCAAGGCTGAACCCGAGTTGGATATGGTATACTTCGTCGAGACTCCGATAAACCAGCCAAGCAATCGGTGTCTAGCCGGAGTCTTCAACGACGTTTTCCGTGGGTGAAGCCGCATCCGGCGGTCGTGGATTCCAACAATTTCCTGACAAGGGCTCCCCCTGGGAATTTCCGGTCGGTTTCCACACGGAATCTCCGCGGCACCTTTGCCCGTTACGCGTCGTTTGCCGAGCCGTTTATCTCCTCGTCATTAGTTATGCCGCGTTGGCCCCCTTCGCCCCATCTAGGCCGCAAAAATAGGCAGCCGTCGTAATCGCAGGTGAAACCGTGTGTCTCTCGTCTTCTGTTCCTAGACGCGTCGTCTAACGTCGACTAACGTCGCCTAATGTCGCCTATTCCTCCCTCGCTATACTTACACACGATTCCCATGCGTCGAGGACACGGAGGGATTGCCACGATCGCCCAAAGACGCCTGCTGCCTCGACACCCCTCGTAATGGCTAGGGTTCCTTGTATTTTACTAGCACAGTTAGCGGGGACCGTGCGGCGGTGGGGGATCGGCGCGAAATTTAAACCGCTGCGTCATACTATTTTAACTGTTGCTTGGGAATTCGGCATGATTAGGGGGAGATACTACGACAGGGGGAATTTTGAAGGCCGCGGCTGTTCCATGGTTGACGTGGAACGCTCTCGGTATGAACGGCTCCGCCTCGCTTCTTACCGACGCGCCGCGGAAGAAAGTAATTATAGCGTACTGGTGTTCGGTCGTTAACTTGGAATGCGGTTTTGCGCCGGGTTCTTGCTGTTCCGTGCTTATTAGCGCCCGAATTGGCAAACTTCGCGGATAAAGGGCTCGCCGGAGATCGTTTCCGGCCCGACCGTATTCTAATTCGGTTTTTACCTGTTCGCCAGGTGATGGTTCCGAACGTAAAGGCTCCTTAAGGGAGGCCATTCGGGCGAAAATCAACTGCCGGTTATTTTTCAGATTAAATTTTCAAAATGTGCAGTCTGATAGAATTTCTTACGGTGATGCGAGCCGCGTTCAAATTATTTTGCCGATAAATTGTTTTGATACTAACAACAATTTCTGCTCGGGTAATTTATTATTGTTCGAAAGTTTATTATTTGTATCTGAGTCTGCTTTACGCATTTATGACAATAACGAATAGGTCAAATATAAAATTATAGGGTCATTAAAAGGATTTGGGGATGTTGTTACACTATTTTTAACTTCTTACAATTGTTCAGGGAAAAAAGATATTTTCAACTGATTTAAGTTTCAAACAACAAACTAAAACTAATTTTTATTTTGCTTAAAGATCCGCTGTCTAGATATAAATTAAATACACACCTACACTCGATCGGTATTTGAATCCAATTTTCTCGAAAACGTTGCCTCCCACGCAATTTCATTATTTTCGTTTCATTTCCGTGAAAGTATTTCGTTATTAGCCGTGGAATCTACCTGATCCAATTAGCACCACGAATTACAAAACAGCATGTATGCTATTTAAAAAATCTCTTCTTCCTCAGACCCTAGTAATCGTGCTGTAAGTATTCCCTTTTTCCACCGCTTTCAGCCAGTGACCTTGAACGATCTTCAGCCTCTAACGTTGTCTAGAGTCACTCCAGGTCCCACAGGCATTCTACAAAGTAGAAAAGTGATTAATTTTAAGTGGAGTTGTTGAGACGCGGTTGTTAGGAGCCCGTAGATCCCGCGGACGAATAAAAGTGAAGTAAAGCATCAACGAAGCGAGTGCCTAGTCCGCCTGTATGAATTTCTCCTCGCGGGTACTAAAGGCGAACTCCGCTGCATCGGATTACGGGTCTATTTGTCGCGGGGAACTAATTGCAGCGCGGTCGCAGCCATGCATCACGGCGACAACAGCCGTCCAGAAGTGCAGCCGAGATCGCGTGAATTACTGGCAGACGGATTGCTTTATCACTTTTAACGACACCGCTCTCGTTCGCCGGGACGTATCTCCTTGGTCCTCTCTCTGCTCGAGGATTCGCTTTTCAATCATTATTTCGGCCAATAGTGGCGGACTCGTATTAATTTCGGCAGAAACAGAGGAATGAAATAATGTATAAATAAGATAAAATATAAAATAATGGAACAGTAGGAATAGTGATAGGTTAGAGGAAAAGAACAGCGATAGTTGAGAAAGTAGAGGAAGTTGGGAATAAATTGTGTACGAGATAAGATAGAATGAACAATTGGTAGTAATAAGTCAATAATCATGCGCAATATAATATAAGCAAGGCCTATTTGAAGGCTATTCTGTGGAATATTTCCAATGAAAAAGTATGAGCGTACAATATCAAAAGAATTAATATTTTTCTTATATAATTATAATTTCTAATATATAATCCTATGATATTTTTAAAATTAATATACAAGAATAATAAATATATAATACATATATATTAAAAAATTAGGGATTAATGTGCACAAAATAGCGACGATATTCGTTACTTGGACAAAAATAAGGATAAGAGAAAGAAAATCATAATATTTTTTACTCTGAATTAAACAAAGATGTCCCGACACATATTTTTATAACAGTAAAAGTAACGAAGATATTTCAATATGTGCAGGATAGAATAAGGTTGAAGAAAAACAGTTGAGATTAAACTTGGATTAATTTTAATCCTGATTAAACTTGGACGAGAAACCACACTATTAAACTTGTCTAAAAATTCTGATTAATCTTGAACTAAATTTAATCCTCATTATATATTAAACTTGCGCTAACTTCAACCCTTGATAAACTTGTGCTAATTTCATCCCTTGTCAAACTTGTGCTAGTTTCATCCCTTATTAAACTTGTGCTAACTTCAACCCTTGTTAAACTTGTGCTTCATCAAACATTGTGCTAAGTTTAATCCTGATTAAACTGCGACTATTTTTAATAATAGTTAAAATCAGGCTATGTCTGCCTTAACATTAATCGAAACGAAACCTGTACTAACATCGATCAAACATTAAACCTGGATTATCTCTGGACTATCTTTGCTCGCAGTTAATCTGAAACTCCCTTGAATAAGAATTAAACAGCAAAGATATTTGACAGCAAATATTAAATATTAGTGTCTGT